TGAAAAATATTCTCGTATCGATTGGTGTACACAAATGCTCAGGAAGTACAAAAGTGGTGCTTCTAAAGATATATATAAGATTGTTACAGGTGCCGAATGATAGATATATGCGTATGAGCCGGAACGTTAACAGCAGCCGACTGTATGGGTGTTTCAAGATGAACCAAATCCAACAAAAGTTGCTCGCACTCAAAGAAATTCGAAACAAGTGGTCGCTTGTTTTTTTCGGGTCATGTGGCAACTATGAGTATACCATTACAGGAACGTAAAACGGTCAATTCCGAATGGTACCAGTATACAACCATATGTTTACCGGAAGTCATCAGTGATATACTTAAAACAAACAAGCGCCATTGGATCATTCTCCATTAAGACAATGCGAGTGCTTACACATCTCGTCTGTTAACCGATTTTTTGAACATTAAAAAAATCGAATCGATGGGTCATCGATGGTACAGTCCTGATTTGGCACCCATTGACTTATTCTTGTCATTGAAAGCGATCGTCAAGAATAAACTGCGTAGACAACGATTTTTGTCGGCGGAAGAAGCCGTTGTTGCATTAAAAAATCATGTTTTGGAGGTGTCTGATAAAGATTGTAAAAAATGCTTGGAAAAAATGGTTTGAACGCATGCAAAAGTTTATTAATCGTAAAGAAGAATACTTCGACTTTCAATGAGAAGTTAGTATTTTTTCATTATTTGGCTAAAAATCTAAATAGCGATCCTCGTATTATCAACTCATTGTATATAAATTTGATGGAAATATTTGATGGAAATCATGAATCTCGCTTCTACTCTACACTTTTTTCAAACTACCAAAAACATTCTAGTTCTTCTTAGTCATTAGACTTAATCGTTAGTGAATTCCGCGTTGCCATCTAAAGTTATTGTAAGATTATTTCTATTAATCAAACCCATACAAACAGTAGTACATTGTATTCATTGCAGATGTATTTCATACAGATGTGTTGTCTGAAAAATAGTTGTATGTATTTTTTAATATTTCATCTTAATTTATTTATACATATTTTTTTTAAAAAATTGATTTGCTGTTGGTAAATTTATCACAATTAAAAAAAATATTAGTACTTTTAAAAAATTTTTATTTTTAATTATTTGATACTAATGATGTCTATAGCAAAACAATCTAAACAACAATGTTACTATACCAGCTCAAAAACTGTAGTCCCTATGGACACAATTGCAGAAGAGCAAGAAAATGAATCGGATTTCAGTGCTGTGAGAGAACCTAAAAGCTCGATACAATTCACTATTACCAACACAAATGTTCAGAATGAATTAGGTAATACTTTAAACATAAATGGAAGGAAGCGCAAATTTGAGGACACATGCAATCCAATGTGTCCATGTATACACAGTGTATCTAAGAAAAGTTGTCAATCTTAATATACAAATTTCATAAGGAGTTGCAGATAGAGATATTTACTATATTTTTGGATAGCATTAATTGCAAAATATGCGGGAAAGCATATTTAAGTTCAATAACTTTTATTAAATTTCTGTCGCCCTATTTAGAAACTCCACAATAATCCAATAATCCAATATTCGTAATAAATTATCAATGTTTATTAAAAGAGGAATATAGTTTCACTTCACGAATATATATTACAAGCAAGACTATAAATGATAAGATTTTGAAATTGATTTATATTTTTATTTACTAATCTCTTTACTCTTTCTTCTTTCGGTACAGTGTAATAAACACCATTCTATTTCTCCTTCTAAAAGATACATGCTTTTTATTCTTTCAAAGATTCTTTCCTGTCGACAAATTTTAAAATTTGCTCGTTAATGGTAAATTGTGCTTTATACATTGATCTTTGTTTTATCCACTCCCTTTTCACTTTCTTCCCACGGTGTACAAACTCTTCCAACAGTTCTTTAACATTTGACGAATCTGCACGACTCAGTTCTTTTTGTGGATACGGTGGAGGAACAGCAGTCTTGATACTTTGCTTTGGCGCTGATATACACATTTCCTCTCCATTATCCTCCTGTTTAATTTGAATTTCATTATCTTTTGTGGTATTGATCGATTTTTTTTCATTTTGTAACCATGCGCGACAAATAGGAAACATTGGTTTTGCTTCTGTACAATTTATAGTATTGATAGAACGACCCCCAATATCTACAAAAACTGTTTTTGAAACTTCCAAATCTGATATTTCCATTTGTAATCCATTCTGTGCTTCATCCGATTCTATCTCGAAAAGAAGTTGATTTTCATTCATCTCTATTATGCCTATATCTTCCTTAAAATCATCAATCTCCATGATTGCTTACCGGAACAACCCTGCCTTAATTGCGTTTTATTTATGAGTTTAGAAAACTTCTGTAAAAGATATTTTTAAAAGTTTTTTATAATAAAAAAATTACTTAAATATATATTTACCTCAGCTATGAAAAATTTTAAAGGGACAGTTATTTTAATAAAACTGAATTGTCAAAAAAAATAAACCAAAAGAGACAGACAATATATGAACAGGATGTCTATATATGCATATATATTTATTTGAAAGCTTCGATATTAACCAGGCTAATATAGATGTAGTGATTCTTCTTCAGCTGATATTCACAATAAAGTTAAATTATTTCAAATTTTTAGATATATACTTTTTTAATATATTTTTAAATGTGTTAAACACAACGTTTACACCAATTATAAATCTTATAAATCGTTGGATTTTGTCAAAAATAATATATAATAATTGGGATATTTTAGGTATTTACAGATATTTATAAAGCATTATTTGTACAAGAATGAAAATTTCTTTAAACAATAAATAACTGTCATGTAAGTGCTAGATTTATATTCTCAAGTTCAAATTCGACCATTCACTCTAATTTTGCATTATATGGTATGAATTTAGCTATTTCATTCATTAACATTGTATCTTGTTGCTCTATTTTACATAATAAGATCAAGGAATTAAAACCACAAATCAAGATGCAGGAATATATCCAATACACTATTAAGCTCAAGTCACTTACTACACTAGTAAATGTTTATTACTGCAGTTTATAGACTACAGCATTGCGTATAATCGGGCGCAATTCTACAGAATTCTACAGAATTCTACAGAATTTTACAGTATCGCGGAGATTCCGTAAAAACTTTGGTAAACACATTGAATTAGTTGAAACCAACTCCTTAAGGTAGTAAAACTGGCAATAACCACGGAGTGAAAGGAAGAACTAAAAAAGCTCAGGATAAGCCCACTCAAACCCGTCATTTGTTTTATTAGTGACTTCTACTTATGCATAAGTAATGCAGAAAACAACACTGAGAATATACCAACGTAATCATAAACACAACCGAAGACAGACCCAGGGAAGACTACTACAGCACTACTAAATCTTGTAGGGCCGTACTTTTCTAAAAAAAAATAATCCATTAGAATTGGTCGACGAACAAACGTCGATATCTAAAGAGATTGTGTGGCACCTAGCGATGTTGCGAAAAGAATAAAATCGAACTGTGCGGTAGCACAACCTGACAAGTAAAAACATGACAGAACCAATTAACTGGTTCTGGTCCATTTTACATTTTATATATTATATATTCAATGGTTCACACAAAATATCAAACTAAGAAAATCGAGTCTATTCTAATCGCCTTTGATATTGTTTTTAATAAAAATCGAGTTTCGTTCACATATAACATCGTAAATGTCACAATTACATTTTACACGATTATTAAATCCCACTCTTTTATTCTGAACCTTTAAGCTTCATCACCTGGTTATTTTTTATGAGAGCTAAGCGCTAACAAGTGAAATTATGGAGTGCAAAAATATTTCATCCACCTGCCAGGCTATGAGGTCAATGACACAGAACATCATGCATTACGCATATTTGTGAAGTCATCAGTACTGTTGACAGTCTACGTAGGAAAATAATATTAAAATTAATGCAAATGGAATCAAGCAAAGAGTCATGCTCAATGCCAAGACAAAAGTGCCATTTGCTCCATTATGCAGCGAAGTGTTGCATACTTTTTAGGGCTATGCACCAGTTTATTTCTGCGATTGTTTGGTTCAGAGTGCAATGGAATATGCATTAAGTCAACAAGCAAGGCAAGAATTTTTAGCACAATTAACCACACAAAAAATGCTAGTGTAAATAATATGAAATGCATTTATTGGAAAGTATTTATTGGAGCGTAGTTCGACTGCAATTCAGTAAATTAGACTAAACAATATTTTGTTAAAAATGTCGTTATTTACGCTTGCATTCATGTAAACTACATTTCCGTGTCCTATAAAAGAATTTTTTATCAACGAAGTGGAAAGCATAAAGACTGCATACAAGTGTTAAAAAAATGTTTCTTCATTAATGTTGACATGGCAGGATACTGAACTTTGACAAATTCTCACATATAAAAAATAAAAAATTTTTTTTAACTATTTCTATGTAGTTTCCAAGAGGTATTCGTAAAAAATTTGAGCTTTCTAACAACCTCCGTCATTAACCTATCCTAAGCCTAAGTAAATGCTTTGCTTTAAGAGTTGCAGTATATTAGGAAGAAACTTACTTTTACTTTAAGTGTTGGTACAAAGTGAGTTACTGAGGGACTTGCTTGGTTTTAGTAGTAAATTTTGTTTCTTTGTAACGTTTGAAGTATGCTTAACATATATATTTTTGTCGATTTTTATTCAGCACTTCTTCACATGTTAGCACTTTAATTTTCTCATATTAGCACCAACTCAGCATGACATAGAGTTGGTCTTCCACTTCCACTTCCACGTCCTGCTTAGTTTAATTTACTTTCCTTCTCCTATTACTCAGTTGGTTATCGTTAGTCTTTGGCCAGCTTCCTGCAAGATCCCGTCAATATGTTGAACTACTATCAAATACATACAATCATAAAGTTTCTGCTTCGACAACACTTTTATGACTACTTAACTAAGGAAAAAGTTCACAAAAATCTTACATACTTATGTTCATATAATTATTTATATATGTCTGTGGGTATGCATGTCTATGCAACGTCTGTGTGCAAGTAAAAGTCATAAATTTTTTCATTCACTATTAAAGGAGAAAGAAATTTTATTTCGTTTTCATGAGGCGAAGAAAGCAAATAACTATTTTATGCAAAAAGTTTGGTTTATTGTTGCACATTTCTTCGACACCGCTGGTAATGGGTGGTATTTTATGTACCTGAAGTATATACTAAATATTTAATATAACATATACATATGTATACTATAAGGTATTTCAATAATTTGTAAGCATGAGTGTCATATCTTTTTGTTTCAGGTAAAAAGCAAATTTATTCTGTCAAGGATATAGTCATATTTTAACAACCACTATTTACATTTATCACTTCAAAGATCCAAAAGTTTATATTATCACTATAATGATTTCAAATTTCAAAATATACACTATTTTGAAGATAGTACTATGATATTAAACCTTATTTATGTATCTCAAGAACAAAATTTGATGTGATCATATTACTTTCAAGGAATATATATATAACCATTAGCTTGGTTGACAACCGGTTGTTCAAAGTACAAGTCCATAGATTTTTAACGAGATTACCTACCCTGAAGGTTTAACGTATAAAGTATAGTGTGCTCTTCATATAAGTTAACAACGTAAACATTGAAGGTGTCAGCGGATAATATATTTTTTAATAAATATT